TCCATTTGAAACAGTTTATTTTTCCCTTCAAATAGGTGGTGGATTTTGAGATGATATTATATTTTCGTGATTCAAAATAGGTCATTTTCGCAATGATATAATTAAACGAATGATGTCGTTGAAAGGCCAAGAAATTTGATTTCTTTATTGAAAAAAGTGTGATTTTCTAGTGGAACATGGCGATGTTGGCATAAAGTAATAGTTTTTCCAATAGAGATAAAAATTTCAAAGCAACCTATGATCTTCTTTCAAAGAAATCCTTTTTACTGTGTACAGTGAATCGCTTTTTAAACGTATTAAGAAAGGTGTTTGCGGCCTCACCCAAAAATCTTAATATCACCAAGATGACCACCGTCTGAAAACTTATCAAATAACAAACCCTCATTATCACTCTAGCAACACATGTATAACACAGTCTGAAGAGGGAGTCGATTCGATGTCGTGTTACATCACGATTTTGAGCCCCTTTGTGTGTAATTGAAGCTCCTAGGCCGGACTCTAGGGTTGAGGTCTAGTGCCTTTTAGGCCTGCAAGGAATTTTAAAAGGTCGTACGGGCTTTTAGCTCTACACAACCCTCCGATTATCGTCTCTTGCTGGGTCATCAGAGATTCTGGTTCGATATAAATACGTGCTCACATTGTTCGGGTCATTGTTGTTTTGTTGCCGTCGCAGAAAGGAGATTCTTTGTGGAATTTTTAATTGGATTTCGAGTCCGGTTCAATGGGAGCATTATTTTCATTGTATACAGTGGCGCGTGATTGTGCGCTGAATGGCGTGTAAAAATGAGGTATTCCTAACTTTTCATTACTGACAGAAGCGATTGCATTCGGTTTATGAAAAATTCAATGGAAGACTCGTCTGAATCCCATCCATTGTTCAATTCGGTACAATGAAATCAGTTTCATTTTCAATTCCGGTGTCCCCTTACTACGCTGATAGGTAAAGAATGAATTCACTTGGTGGATTATTGTTATACAGGGGGTTTGCGATTTGATTCTAAAATTGGAAGTGATTTAAAATGTTTTGCACTATGTGGAAAATAATTTTTGAAGTTTGTAGTAGTGAGAGTGATTTGTCAAAACTGAAAATGGAGATATTCATCCTGAATGTCAACGAAACGAGTAATCTTGTCTGTATGTGTTCTCTTCAATCGTAACTCCGGTCGTGAAAGCCTATATTCTCACATTGTAGAATGGAAGTTGAAGTGTGGAAATCGTATAATTATTATTTTTGATAAAACCTATAAACTCCATAACAGAACACCCTTCTTCGAGAAACATCTGTACATCATGTGTACAGTGTATGTCCGTATGTGTGTATGTCTATTCTTAACATTGAGTATATTATTGCATTACTACATTATCATTAAGTACAATTGTCTCAAAAGTATATAAAACTACATTCATTTTATATTCGGTTCGTCTTACCTTTATGAGCAAACGGCCCAGGCAGAGCTCTCTGGCTTACAGAGACAGGCTTGTCTGGCCATCAGTAGTGTCAAATTCAAATTTAAATTCATTTATTCGTAATTGCAATAGCAGCCATCTATAAGATGGATATACACATCATGTTTTACACTCACACACAAATTGACAATAGACTTAGAAACAGGTAGTTAAAAATAAAAAATTCAATATATAATGGTAAATGTAAATGGTCGTTGTGACAATGACTCAAACGAGTCATTGAGGAATTCACTAACCGAATAATATGCTTTTGCCAATATCATTTTTTTAATTGTCTGTTTGTACTTTCTGAAACTCATGTTCTGTATGCTGCCCGGTAGTTTGTTAAAAAACTTAGCTCCGACATATCCTGGACTTTTTTCAAATTTTGTTAATTTATGTTGAACAGGTTGAAGCCTGGCTCCCTTCCCCTTTCAACTGGTGAGACAAAATGAGAAAATCCAAGAAAGTACTTGATAAAAATAGCTGCGTAAACGCAAGCGAAACATAAGTGGAACCACCTATTGGTGTGACACCCAAGTCAACTTGCCAAGTTGACACCCAATTCAACTTGCCATACTTGATATAAATTCATCAAAAGTGTTGTTTACATCAGGCCCCATTTCATACATTTCTTCAAATCCAATTAATTCCAAGTGTTGCTTTGCTCTATACAAATGAAAGTCGTACATGATTCTGTAGTTATCAGTGTTTGACCATTCATCATTTATGGGATGTTTTTGATTTAGTGCGATAGTTGTTAAAATTGCTTGGTGATCTCCTATGTTTGGTTGGGTTACATAACTATTTCTGTCGTCATTACTATTCATTGCAATATAATCGATTTTTGTTTTGGACGTTTTGTTTTTGGAGGGAGCTATTCTAGTAGGTTCATTTGGAATGCAATCTCTCAGGTTGAAACATGTGAAAAATTCTTGAAGTAGTCTTTTTTCCAAGGTGTTTGTCATGAAATCAACATTTATATCTCCACATAGGTATATAGTTTCAAATGTGAGGGATAATTGCATAAATAATTCATACCCTTTCTCTAAAAATAGTTTAAAATCACTGTTAGGACATCTGTACACATTAACTATCACACAATTTAGTATTTCAGATTGTCATCAGTACCACATCGTCAGCGGCCATGGATATCTTCCTAGATCTATCTCCTCTACACATTTTTCTGGAGAGAGAGGCTAGATACACTGCATACAGACTTGTGCACATTGCCAATTGCACAAATCAATTTAACGCAGAGTGCAACAGGCTGTTGGTTGACACTGGAAGTGACAGCATTCTGAAAATGATCTCTGACTTCATGCCCCCAACTGCCAACTACGAACTGCCTTATAAAGTACTGTTCCCGAGTAGAAAGGACTGGATCCTCCGGGAGAAGGAAATATCGAGAGCAGATAGTTATTGGTTCACAGATGGATTAAAAACACCTTTCAGTTCTGGTGCAGGTGTTTTCAGTCGCAGACAGAGATATCTACCTGCCTAGAAACCTATGCGACTATATTTCGAGCGGAAATTTACGCTATTGAATTGTGTGCGGAGAGATTGGAATGATTCAATCTCATATACAAGTCAATAAAAATATTCTCGGACAGTCAAGCATCGTTGGAAGCTCTTGGCTCCTACCGAGCAACGTCTGAATTAGTAGCAAATTGCCAAAAACGACACTGCTTGATTGAGGACAAGATTGTTTCTGGTCTGGATTCCTGGCCATACTGGCCTGGAAGGCAATGAGGCTGCTGACTCATTTGCAAAGGAGGGTGCTGCAAGCAGCTTCATCGGACCAGAATCTGCCTTTGGCATCGCTATAGGCTTTGCGAAACAAACATTAAAAAGCTGAATGGCAAGAAGGATTGGCTCACTCCAAAGCGTTGATTCACCCTTGGAAGCTTAATACCAAACCGTTGTTGAACTACAGTTGGGATGAACTGCGATGTCTAACAGGCCTTTTCACACGTCACTGTCATTAGAATCATAATGTGCAGAGATTGGGACTGTCGGAAGACCGCCTGTGGCCTCTGTTTGGAAAATGATGAAACAGCAGAGCATATACTTTGTGCTTGCACCGCTGGTGATCAAATCAGGTTCTTAGAGTTCGATAGTGCCGTTCTCTTACCATCTAGCCTGAAAGACCACTCACCATACAAACTAATCAGCTTCGTTGAGAAGCCGGGTTTATTTGGTTGAGTGTGAATAGGTGTTAGTCACAATAAACTCTTGTGTGTTGCGCAAGCCTCTATGGCTCCTCGTTTTCTTTCAAATTTTCAGTTGAAAAACAATGAACTTCACAAATTATGTGTTCATATACTTTCGATTTATTGAATTTTTCTTCATACATATTCAGTGTGGGAGCAAACATGAGTACTGACACTTTATGTGGAAGCTCATGTCCAAACGTCACCTCCTCACCTCATATGAAATTGATAAAAAATGAGTATCTATGTGAACATGTGACAAATAAAGATAATTTTCAATTATTATAATATATGGTTACCTTTCATTAAGTTTCACTAACAAATTGAATGCGTCTCATCTGTCGGAGTTTTTTCGCTCGTATTCACGACAATTTATTATTCCTTAATGATTTACCCAGTTTTTTCATGATTTTTAGACACGTAAAAATCCAAAATTATCAAGGAATAATGGTTTCTATCAAAGTGTTGATATTTGTTTACTTAGATACAATTTTCATTTGAAAGTTCTGACAGAATTGAAGGAAACAGATAAATAACTCTGATATATTTCGTCAGGTATCACTGTCCTCAAGCTGCATAACAATGACCATGTATCTAGGCCAGAATGACGTACAGAATGCAAGGACATGCTCAATTTGATGAGTATGTAGTGGTTCGGTGTGAGTGGATTATTAGAGGAACTATATACCCAGTTTGTGGAATTTAATAAGGACATGAGTGTGAAGCAGCAACAGAACATTGGAACAGTTCATCCTGATATCGGACGAATCTAGATCAAAATCATCAATATGAATAATTAAATCCCAAAAGAATCCAAAGAAACAGTGATTGATTCATAATTTGTTTATTGAAGGTGATGTTTATGAATTGTTATTGATATGAGGAATATTAAGTCATAGTTTTCACTATATTTTGAAATACAGATTTGAAACATATTTTGAAACAGATTTTGTACATCAAATGATCAGTTTTGACGCTGAACGCTACGTAAAAGTAGCAACCTTATTTATATAGGATCATATAGTCAGTCGGTAGCCAAGCGGTTCGGCGTGGGTGCTTTGTTCACTCACTCGAATTGACTGCCGTGTTGGTCGGTGGTTCAAGCCCTAGTCTGAACGATCGATCTTCACTTGCTACCGTCCAACCCATGTTAGGAATCACACGTTAAAAGGTAAGACCTCGTTAATCCTTAGCTCGCACAAGTTTCGACTTCTGAGGGTTGTCGTTCGTAGGGGTGCGACAGCTGGTTAACGGAAAAACAGATTTTAAACAGATATCGCTTTTCCTGTAGAACAGCAAATAAGGAACTCGCGTTCCCTGGGGTTTCAATACGTCTTTTTTTTACACGGTCTTGGCCGAAGAATCGTCGTACCTAATCCAGCAGTTGTAGCCGACGTGGAAGGCATCGGCCACGTAGTGTCCAATGTTGGCATTTTTGCCTTCGTGGTAAACGACGGCGAATAGCTTGTGTTGTTTTTCTGTTGGAGACTGTGTTTCCGACGATATCAAAGTCGAATCAAACTTCAAGTCGAATTCAAAATTAAAAGCCTCCTCTATCGTAGTTACGTATTTTTCGATAGGCTCTTCATCCAATATTTCCAAGGGTTCTCCATGCCGCATCACAGGAATTTCTGAATTTTTCTGCCCCGATTGGACCACCTCCAACAGTGCACGTATAGCTAACTTCACAGTGCCTTTCTCTGTAACTACCTCTTCACGATTATAAAACTTTCCCAGAAACTCTCTTACTGTTTTTGCAGATCGACCAGTAGCATTTGCTTTCCACTCGTAGTAAACACCTGACGGCTCTGTCTGGTAAAGATGTGGTTTGTCATTATAATCAAAGCCACCGATAAGACGAAAGATACCGAAAGGTCTCTTGCCATTACTCTAAGTATACTATTGTTTCAACGGTGTTATATAACGTGTTATATATTCTAATGTAACAGGATCCTCGACGGTCAATTTGTGACTTTGACACTCGATTTGCACTCGATTGATCAGTATTTTGGCGTCGGCGGTCAAACCAGCAAAGGCCATAACTACATGCTCATCTAATAGACATATTTTTCTCACTGTTATTTCTCCTTGAAGCTTGGCTACCGATTTTTTTTCGAATCCAAGTACGACAAAATTGGCTCCCCTAACGCCAACCGCAGTAGATTCTTTTCGGACAGCTTCTTGTGGATATTCAACTTGCAGAAGATGTCTATCTGGTGAAAAAACGGTTATAGCCCTATCGTATCTTGCAGACATTTTTATATCTAATTGATTTTGGAAATATTAGTAAACCGTACCTAGCCAAAATATTGCTTGGTAATAGGCAACAAACACACATTCCAACACAGACTCACATATTTTCAATCAATGTACCTAAGCATGTGATGTAATGTTTGCACCAATTTTAAGATGGGCTACAAAAAATGTATTTTGTGAGAGGGAAGTAATTGAATACTCAATCGAACTGAATATACCTAATAAGATATATTATCAATCGTGCAAACTTGAGCATTTTGAAAAATAAGGAAATGCTGTTCCTATCAAAGATTGAAAAAATATAGGGAATGGAGTCTTTATCAAACCTGAATGTGATAGGAAAATAAACCTCATATATTGAATATATCTTTCAGTTATAAAACTTTCTATCCCTACTTTGAAATCGTTTTTCAGTGGTTTTCAATTTCATTGGCAATGCATTGAAACTTTTTGCATATATCTGAACTTCAAACCCTGACTTGATTCCATCATCTAACTTTATAACATGTCAAACTATGACACTTCCGAAGAAGCTATTGTATAGCGGAACATGTGTTGCATTTTTGTGAAACATTTTAGTGAAAATATCACAATGAAGTGCATATCATTAGTTCGGACTTCCATTGTTTATTATGATATGAAATGATTTAAAATCCCTGAAAGAAGATGAGGAAGAATGCCAATTGGATCGCCACTCCCACCGGTTATAGCCAACATATATATGGGGTGGTTTCGAAAATCACACAAGGAGCCCCGAGTCTAGTTCAGATACGTTGACAACAACTATACACCTTCTTGAAGCACATCAACAACGTAAGACCCTCCATCACTTTCACAATGGAGAAGGAGATCCACAACGAATTGCCATTCTTAGACGTATTGGTGAAGAGGACCGACACAAAATGGAAAACATATGTGTACCGAATACCCACTTACACGGGACAGTATTCGAACCAGGAATCCAACCACCATTAACCGACTAAGAGAGGAATCATCAAGACTCCAGTAGACCGTGCTTTCAGGCTCTGTAATACGAAGGAAGGTCTCGAGAAGGAAATAGACATCATAAAAAATGATTTCCAACGGAATGGCTACTCCAAAGCGATGGTGGAACAGGCATTGGCTAAAAGACAGCAGGAGCCTCGCAAAGAAGAGAAGCCGTCACAACCAGTACTTGTACTTCCCTACTTCTAAGGATTGTCGGGAAGGATGCGAATAATTGGGTCGAAATATAACATCAGAACCTTGCTTCAGATCTGTGAATACTATCCATAACAGCCTCCCTAAAACCAGGCCACCAAATGCGGACTGCGATTACATTTACCGGATTCCCTGCGAGTGTAGAGAATCCTACATCGGTAAAACTAAGAGGCCATTGGAAGTTCGCATTGTCGAGTACAAGAAACACACATGGCAAGGAGAAACTAGCAAATCAGGAATAGCAGAGAATGTTTGGACTCATTAACATAACATCTAGTGGTCTCAAGCTGAAATCATTCACAAGGAAGAACACTGGTTTAGGAGTAACTTCAAAAAAGCTGCATGTTATCCAACAACGCATTTAGTCAAGCTAATGTAGAGATTCGCAACAAATGGAAACCTATAATCAACCGGAAACGGCCAAATCCGGCCAAACGGTCAGCTCTTGATGAAGCGGAGAGAGGTGAGAGAAGATAGGTGAAAGCACTTGAATGACCTATGAATAATCAGCTCCCAGAGTAGTGAGTCCAGTCATCATACGAAGACGATTGTAGATACTAACAATCGAAACGTTGCGAAGTAACTTGGCTTGAAATCTTTCAATTTTAATTTTCATTTCTTGTTAATTGTTGAATTTTCAATTGTTTTTGTATTTTATTTCATTGTAATTTCAGTTTTTATGCTTGATTTAATTGAAATTTTTTTAACTGATCTTTTTTATTATATAAAAATCAGAGTATATAACAGAATTAACCTTCAGTATGTCATTCATTACGAAAAAGCTACTGTGATTACGAAATATGTCGTGATATATTTTTGAAAATAAAGTTTGTGAAGATCAAATCGTAGGATGTAGTTTATGAAGTCACTATGAAACTTCATCAAATAACGGCCGAATCCATCAGAAAATAAACTTTAATCATTATTCATAATTGATCCCCAACAATCTTTGTGATTATTTCAACTGTTTAAAAATAAATAATCGAAAGATAAACAAAAATTCAATCCCTCAATGTATTATTCATAGTGTTGATTTGGCTTCACAGTAGTCGCTTCAAATCTATCCAAACTCTGCCAAATGAATCCATCTTCTGAACAGAATCTACTTCGGTAAATTATCTCTCTGGTGAAAACTTGATCTGGCTCATAGCGTGGCAGCCACAGAACATGTTGTAACGGTCTAAATTTACTTGTAAATATTGTAGATATTGTTCGTTTATTTACTATGGAATCGACAGAATTGTCATTTATTGATGACGAAAATGTGCCTGAATTTTCTTGCGGAAAATAATCAACTTCATGCTTGACAGACCATGGTACATTTTCTCCAATTCAAACAGAATCTGGTTGGCGGTTAATCTGTGATTTCCTTCAGCAGGTATGTAAGAAAGACAAATATGTTCCTTCAAAATAATGTATCCTGTGTGCGGGTACGGGTACCAACTGCACTCAGTGTACTAACTCTTGTCAATAAACGTTCTTCTGATCATCTCAGGTAAGCTGTCGCTCTGAAATCATGCTTATGGACTACTTCTGGAAGGTCCTTCTGCGGCTAATGTAATATTATACTCAAGAGAACAATTTGATTGATCGATATTCAGGTTGTTGGATGTTCAAGGTGTAATATTCTCACTACAATGACGGTAACTACTTTCCCATTTGGGGGCATCTGTAAGTTCTATACCTGACGATAACTTGAATTAGGTCATACAAGGATTTTTCGCGATTTTTAAGGGTAAGTAATTGTTAACCTGCTCAGGAAAATATTGTTCACTCTCCTGGTGTAGATTCTGCTTCCGCTTTTCAAGAATTTCGTAGATGACAAATTCGTAAGATATTCCACCTTTGAAGAGGCGATAAGTCAATTTCGCAATGCACCACTCAGCCCATCAATCAGGTAGGTAAGGAAGACAAATACTTCATTCAAAATTAGGTCTTCTGTAACGCTTTTTTTGGGAGATGCTCTTCAATAGATACGGGTACTAACTGCACCCAGGATACTAACTTCAGCCAAGAAATGTTCTTCTTTTCCTCTCAGGTACCGCTCAGGTGCCGCTCTGAAACCATGCTTGGACCACTTCTGGAAGATCCTTCTGCGGCGACTGTGATATTATACTGCAATATAATATGGGGCTAGTGGACACACCTCTATGCAGGATGTGTGAACAGGAAGATGAGACTGTCAGGCATGTCTAATGCGAATGCTCGGAGTTATCGTCAATAGGAGAGTGTGTGTTCGGCGAGTCTTGTCCTACACCTGCCGATATAAAGGAAATGTCTCCCAGTGATCTATCCACCTTCCTGGAAAGGACAGGATGGACGATGACCTAGGAGGACAAATCCGCGAGGGCATGTACAATGGGTCACATATGGCCTGAGTCCTGTGGGCTTACACTCACCTTTCCTACTCCACAGATACAGATACAGATATACTGAAGAGAATCAATTTGATTAATCGATATTCAGGTTGTTGGATGTTCAATGTGCAATATTACCACTTTGATGACATTAACTACCTTCCCATGTGTGGTCATCTGTAGGTTCTATACCTGACGATAAATTTAATCAGGTCATGTGAGGATTTTTCGCAATTTTTGAGGGTAAGGATGAGGGTTAACCAGTTCAAGAAAAAATTGTTAACTCTTTTGGTGTAGATTCTGCTTTCGCTTCCCAAGAATTTGGTACATGACAAATTCGTAATATATTCCACCTTTGAAGAGGCGATAAGTCTCAGGACACAACTCAGGCCTTTAATTGGGTCAAGAATTAAAGAATCGAGAAAATCTTGCAATCGATCTGATACTATAGGGGGATAGCTGAGGTCGTTTAGTTATAGTAGATACGAAGTCAATTCGAAAGGCATGAAAACGAAATAGTTTGGCAGTCTCTTTGTATGACATGGGCAGCGTGGTATAGTTTATTTCAAAATGTATTTAATTTTCGATAAATCTACACTTATTTTTTATCAGACGTGGTGAGTAATGTCAAAATAACTAGTTTGTACTTATACGAGAATTGACTAAAAACTTGAGATTCATTATCTGAATTTTCAGAAATTAAATCTGAATTTGCGGTTATGATAATGGAGTCAATAATAGGTGAAATGAATTATTCATTCTCCTTTTCTATGACATGCTGGACACATTTCTCACTACTGTCGTTCACTTAGAGGGTAAGGATGAGGGTTAACCAGTTCAAGAAAAAATTGTTAACTCTTTTGGTGTAGATTCTGCTTTCGCTTCCCAAGAATTTGGTACATGACAGATTCGTAATATATTCCACCTTTAAAGAGGCGATAAGTCTCAGGACACCACTCAGGCCTTCAATTGGGTCAAGAATTAAAGAATCAAGAATATCTTGCAATCGATCTGATGCTATAGGGGGACAGCTGAGGTCCTTTAGTTATAGCATATACGAAGTCAATTCGAATAGCATTAAAACGAAATAGTTTGGCAGTTTCTTTGTATGACATGGGCAGCATAGTATAATTTATTTCGAAATGTATTTCATTTTTAATAAATCTACACTTATTTTTCATCAGACGTGGAGAGTAATGTCAAAATAACTAGTTTGTACTCTTATGAGAATTGAATGAGAACTTGAGATTCATTATCTGAATTTTCAGAGCTTAAATCTGAATTTGCGGTTATGATAATGGAGTCAATAATAGGTGAAATGAATTATTCATTTTCCTTTTCTATGACATGGTGGACACATTTCATCCATTCACCACTGTCGTTCACTTTATTAATAACCATTCGTATATTTCCTAGTACTTAATAACTATTCGTTGGAGATTG